GTTCTATTCTAAAGCAAGGGTGTCCAACCCCTGTAATTTTAAGACTTGTGGACTTCAATTCCCAGAATTCCCCAGCCAGCATGGATGGCTGGGGAATTCTGGGAGCTGAAGCCCACAAGTCTTAAAATTGCTAAGATTTGGACATCCCTATTTTAAAAGTATCATAGTAGAATTGGCCTCTGACCCTTTTCCTCATTACTGTGACATCTGGAGAGAAGCTCTGAATTATGAACATAGGAATCTTCCAGATGGTACCCATCAACCATCTTTTCTTTCTTAATTACTGACAAAAATATGGGGCAAACATTATGAAGGCAGGAGAATAAGTATGGCAATTGCATCTTGACTTGTGAAGAGGCTTAATTGGCTTGACCCGGCTTTCATCGATAGACTGAAATAAGCTTGTAAGGCAACCAGGACATTTTTGGGCTGAGGAAAAAAAAACTGGGTGACAAAGGTAATCGTTTAACTGGTCAGCGAATTCCCAGATAACCCACCTTCCCTGCCTGTGATCCAACCAGTGAAATCTCTTCCATCTCTTTCCAGAAGGTCCCAGAAGGTCTCGGGCACATAACGAACCTCATATGGAGCACAAGAGTGATGCCAACACAGTCCAATTATGATAACTACGCATGAATAAGCCCCACATGCAGCATTGCCTCCTCACCCGTTCCGTTCCATCCCACCCTCCAAACATTTTCCTTTGCTTTCTCCAAGATACTCTTAAAACTTCCAACGGGCACACAAACCTGAAAATAAGACTGCAGCAAATTCATCTCATGCCATCTCTTCCTAGGGCAGCACTGCCATTCTTGGGGTAACCCTCACCCTCCTTTGTGCTGCATCCTATGGCAGCAGCCTATAAGCAATTCAATCTCCACCTTCCAGAAGAAGGTAGATGCCATTCTCTGAGGTCTTACCTGCGCAGCTCTGTCCCTGCAGGGCCTGCCTTGTTTTTTTAATACAACTCTGAGAAGAACCGAGAGGCGTTTGCTCCCCGTTGTTGTTCCTCCTTCTGCCCTTTGGTACTGTTTACTGCCTGCCTCTTACCTGAAATGGCTCCTAATAAACCTCCCATCCCGTGAGTACCCTGGCCTCCTTTCCCTTTTCAGTTCTCACGCATTCATTCAGAATTTTCTCAAAGGGAGGGAGAAAAGAAAGGAACGAAAGTAATGGCCAGGGTTGTAAGCAGGGGTGGGATTCAAATATGTGAACAACCGGTTTTCTGTGTGGATGCCGTTTCCAGAAGTCCATTCTGGGCCTGGGCGACAAAAAATTAGCGACCGGTTCTGCTGAAGTGATGTGAACCAGCCGAATCCCACCACTCAGCCTTGAGCAGGGCTGAGCTGAAATTTTTCAGAAGAAATTTCTACAAGTAGTCCTCCACTTAATAATTGTTCATTTAGTGACCGTTCAAAATTATAACACCAATGGAAAAAAAGGGGCTTGGGACAATTTTTCACACTTGTGACTGTTGCAGCGTCCCCATGGACACTTGATCAGGATTTGCCCGCTTTGCAACTGGCATGTATTTGTGACAGTTGCAGTGTCCCCGAGTCATGGGATCACTTTTTGTGACCTTTTGACAAGCAAAGTCAATGGGGAAATCCAGATTCACTTAAACAACCCTGTTACTGACTTAGCAAATTGCAGTGATTCACTTCACAGCTGTGGCAAGAAAGGTCGTAAAATGGAGCAAAACTCACTTAAACAACTGTCTTGCTTAGGAAAAGAAATTTGAAGCTGCCAGACTGGCTAGCTGACTCCCTCAGCTCTGATTTTTCAAATCTGGGGACAGCCGATGGCAGTCTTGGAGGCAACTGGAGCTGACGTAAGGTGATTGTTTGGTGTAGGACAGGTGACACAAACATTTGAGTGCTGTGGCATTTTGTCAATTGTTTTCTTTAATTGCTTGCTGTTTAATTGCACACATGCCCAGGATTAGAGGGCTGAATGGACCAGTTACTTAATCCTTGATGAGAGTAAAAAATCTCATTACATGCTTTTGAATACTGCATAAGCCTCTACATCACCCTTCATCATCTCACGTTTTATGTGTCAACGCTGCTAACATTGGATGTTTTGCATTGACAACAGATGGAAATGTAGTCATCTTTTTCCCTTTCGCTTTTAGAGTTAGATGATGTTGGGAGGGGGGTATGTGAATGAGAGTCTAGCTAGACATAACAACACTAAACTTAGCGTGAGAATCAAGGTTATTGAGCCCAGAGCTGATAGAGATTTGGCGGGCTGGAGAACTGAGAGGAAGCCCGAGCTTCAAGCTAATTGGGGAATGTGATTTATGACTGTTAATTGGAGGAGAGCATTATGCTTTGATACTATGTGCCCAGGGGAGTTTTTGGTTTCGATTATGTAGTGCCGATATTATGCTACTCGAATAAAAGATTCTTTAAGGTAAACAATGCCTCGAAGTTCTTTTGAAGGGTTTCATCTGTCGGAACCATGACATTATGACTGATAACTGCTCAAATATCAAGCTAACAGTTTGTGTTGTGAGCAGACTTTCTTTTGCCACAAAGTCTGTTGAGTTTTCCCATGGATTTTACCTTTACATTTATTTTCAATTTACCTCAGACTAGTCGAAGGATTAATTAGTTGCAATGGTGACACACAATGAGAGTCCATAAAAGAATTTCAACTCTCATTTAGTTTCTCCTTGGCTGATAAGGAGAGCTCTGACTACTGTTCTTTTTCCAAGTCTGTTTGAAGTTCTAATTCTAGGGCACCACATTTGTTGGAAATAATAGTTTATTTCGTTTACGGATCCTTTTTGTGCAAAGTGTTCTATCTTTGGTTGTTTAGCTGACTTGCCGTTTTTTCCCACATGATTCAAATCCACACCTAGTCCTTTATTTGTCCCTTTGCCTTCACATTTGTCTCACTCCAAAGCAGTATAAATTGAATTTAAGGGGAAAAGTCCAATAAAAATGGCTAAAGAGCCAGTTTGGTCTATTGCAGGGGTAGGCAACCTTGGCTCTTTTATGACTCGTGGACTTCAACTCCCAGAATTCCTGAGCCAGCATGGCTCAACTTGGAAACCTCTCCCTTTCCCCTCAGTATGGCTGGCTCAGGAATTCTGGGAGTTGAAGTCCACGAGTCATAAAAGAGCCAAAGTTGCCTACCCCTGGTCTAATGGCTAGGGCACCACAATAGAAAGCAGGAGACTGAATTCTATCCTGTCATAAGCATGAAAGGCTACTGGGAAATTTGGGGGCCAATCACTCTCTCTCTCAGCACAACCCAACTCATAGGATTGTTGCTATAGGAAAAATAATGTTGCCTTGAGTTATTTATAAAAATAATAAAGGTGGGAAAGAAAGAAAGAAAGAAAGAAAGAAAGAAAGAAAGAAAGAAAGAAAGAAAGAAAGAAAGAAAGAAAGAAAGAAACAGAAAGAAACAGAAAAAGAAAGAAAGAAAGAAAGAAAGAAAGAAAGAAAGAAAGAAAGAAAGAAAAAGGAAGGAAGGAAGGAAGGAAGGAAGGAAGGAAGGAAGGAAGGAAGGAAGGAAGGAAGGATAAATGAAACTAAAGTTGCAAAACATGAATAATGTCAATGAAGTCATATCTAAGCACTAAGCACCTACCGTATATATTCAGACTTGCCCTGTTTATCTTGGACCTTTTTCCTTTTTTGGTGTACTTCCAAAAATTATTATTATTATTATTATTATTATTATTATTATTATTATTATTATTATTATTATTATTATTATTATTATTATTATTATTAATTATAATTATAATTATAATAATAAAGTTGGAAAGGACCTTGGAGGTCATCTAGTCCAACCCCCTGCTCAGGCAGGAAACCCTATACCATTTCGGACAAATGGCTGTCCAGTCTCTTCTTAAAAACTTCCAGTGTTGGAGCATTCACCGCTTCTGGAGGCAGGTTGTTCCACCGGTTAATTGTTCTAACTGTCGGGAAATTTCTCCTTAGTTCTAGGTTGCTTCTCTCTTTGGTTAGTTTCCATCCATTGCTTCTTGTCCTGCCTTCAAGCGCTTTGGAAAATAACTTGACTCCCTCTTCTTTGTGGCAGCCCCTGAGATACTGGAACACTGCTATCATGTCCCCCCTCGTCCTTCTCTTTGTTAAACTAGACATACCCAATTCCAGCAACCTTTCCTTATATGTTTTAGCCTCCAGTCCCCTAATCATCTTTGTTGCTCTTCTCTGTACTCTTTCTAGAGTCTCAACATCTTTTTTACATCTACAACTAATTAATATATTTGTTTGGGACCTCTTCTTGATAAATAAAATCGAAGTTCAGAGATGGTAGTTTGCTTAGTAAGTTTTTAGTCTTACAATTGTTTTGGGGTAATGTAGAAAAGTTAGATAGGTGCCAAGATTGGTACATATGTGTCATGGCAGACTATAGTTCAAATTTTCCAGTAATTTGGGTCAAATTAAGATTCCTTCAGAGAGAAAAGCTAGGAAATAACTTGACTTTCATTGCATAGAAGGCAAGGATTTCATTACCATTAAATGTTCCATAAAATGACCAAGGATCTTTAATTTATTTACAGTACAAGTCTACCCAAAGTTCCTTTTTTGCAAAGATACATGAATAGTTAGATCTGATAGTTAATTCAATTTGTAACCATCACAGAATCAGTGAAAAAACAATAGACAAAATTGTCCCGGTTGTTCACAGAATAACCCCCCTATTAACTATTGAGAGAGAAATTATGATATATAAAGTAATGTGTCTTTGTTGCCATTATATTGTAATTAGCAGGCTACTAATAAATCTTTTGATTTCTATATAGTTTTTAAAAGATTTCACAGAAAAATAATGTTACAGAGTTTCCTTTTAATTTTAGTATGCACTTTATTTAATGATAATGATTAAAAGAATCAACTGTGGAAAGAGGCTAAAAAGAAAATCTGTTCTAAGAAAGGGAAAAAAACCCAAATATGATTGAAAAAAGATTATTATTGGCGGCCTTGATGATGATGATGATGATGATGATGATGATGATGATGATGATGATGATGATGATGATGATGAAGATGGTAATGATGATATGGAAAGTATTAAGATGTAATGGAAAAAATGGGATTGCCCAGCTGACCTCTAGCAGAAGATGGGTGCAATGTCATTCATACTAGTGGCCCACAGTTTTAGAGCTATTAAGTGTCTGTATTAGATGTGAAGCTGACCCAAATGCACAATCCAGCCATACTTATAGATGTATTCACACTCTCCATACCACCTCCCATTTTTAATTGGCCTCTTTCTAAAGAGACTGTATCTATATACAGCATAGGATTTTTTCCAGGAAATTGGAACCCGGACTAACTACTAGGGTTTCCCTCCATATGAAGAAATGATATATGGGTTATTCCTTAAGATGCCCAAAGCCCAATGATTATACCTCTAAAAATCAGTTAAAGGTAGTTGCACCCATAGCTAAATATACTTAGTCTTCAAACTTGGCCCTTTTATGACTTGTGGACTTCAACTCCCAGAATTCCTCAGCCAGGAACGCTGTTTGAAGACCCCTGGTCTATTCCAATTCTATTATACCACTTAAAGGGACAGAGCAAGAAGTGGAGTTGCCATAGGCTGAGATACATATGCCACTGTTGCAAACTGGGTTCACTCAGTGATTTTTGTTGAACTAAAGCTCAGCCAATCACTCCCCATCCCCTTCATAGGATTTTAGTTCTTCTCATATAACAGCTAAATTATGCTCATATCTTGATTTAATTTGTATTCTTGGTTTCACATGCCATATTCCATATTCCTGGTTCAACTTCCCAATTCATGATCGAGGTCTTTTGGAGATTTCTCTGCCAATGGAAAAAAAAACAAGGGATAAGTATAAGAAACTAAAATAATAATAATAATAATAATAATAATAATAATAATAGTAGTAGTAGTAGTAGTAGTAGTAGTAGTAGTAGTAGTAGTAGTAGTAGTAGTAGTAGTAATGTTGGAAGGGACCTTGGAGTCATCAAGTCCAACCCCCTGCTCAGGCAGGAAACCCTACACCATTTTGGACAGATGGCTGTCCAGTCTCTTCTTAAAAACTTCCAGTGTTGGAGTATTCACCGCTTCTGGAGGCAGGTTGTTCCATTGGTTAATTGTTCTAACTGTCAGGAAGTTTCTCCTTAGTTCTAGGTTGCTTCTCTCCTTGATTAGTTTCCATCCATTGCTTCTTGTCCTGCCCTCAGGCGCTTTGGAGAATAGCTTGACTCCCTCTTCTTTGTGGCAGCCCCTGAGATATTGGAACACTGCTATCATGTCCCCCCTCGTCCTTCTCTTCATTAAACTAGACATACCCAATTCCAGCAGCCTTTCCTTATATGTTTTAGCCTCCAGCCCCCTAATCATCTTTGTTGCTCTTCTCTGTACTCTTTCTAGAGTCTCAGCATCTTTTTTACATCATGGTGACCAAAACTGGATGCAGTATTCCAACTGTGGCATTACCAAGGCATTGTAAAGTGGTATTAATACTTCACGTATTAAATACTTCACGTATTAAAAAGTCACAGGACCAAATAATACTTAATATAATAGACTAGCTTAGCTCACTGACCAAATTGTATGTTTTTTAATTGAAAAACATCCATAGAAACTTGCTAACAGGACTGGTTAATCTTTACATTATTGCCAGCTGCTCCCAGGTGCTATTTGACTCATAGCAAAAAGTATTTTCATCTCTTACATGAGATAAAAAGTAAAAAAAATATGGATAAGGTAAGTAGCCATCCATGCACCAGATTTGGTAGCAATCCATATTCATGAAGCAGGAGTAGAGAAAATAGGATAAACTGCTATTTTACTTCCTAGTAATCATTAGTCATAGCTATTCCTAGTAATCAATAATCACAGGTAGTCCTCGACTTACAATCATTCCTTTAGAGCAGAGGTGGGGAATGATGGCCCCTTTATGACTTGTGGACTTCAACTCCCAGAATTCCCTCAGAAAATCCACAAGTCATGAAGGGGCCATCGTTTCCCACCCCTACTTTAGAGACTATTCAAAGTTATAACAGCACTGAAAAAAGTGGTGTATAGCAGGTTCTCACACTTATTACCATCACAGCATCTCCACGACCCCATGATCAAAATTTGGGACTTGGTCACTGGCATGTATTTACAATAGTTGCAGCATCCAAGGTCACGCGATCACCATCTGCAATCTGCAAGGCCTCCGACAAGCAAAGTCAATGGGGGAAGCTGGATTCACTTAAAAACCACACAACTGCAGCATTTCTCTTAACAACTGTGGCAAAAAAAGGTCATAAAATCGGGCACAATTCAATTAACAACCATCTTGCTTAGCAACAGAAATTCTGGCCCAGTTGTGGTCATAAGTCGAGGGCCGCCTGTATCCTTCTACCTCATCTCTCCTTTGGGAGCTACAGTGCATCTCCCGTCATTTCATCTTCAAAACCACCATCTTGTGAAATAGGCAGAACTGAGAGTTCAGCAAGTATGTCGGACTTGAACATGGTCTTCCCCAGTCTCAAAGCGGCACTCATCCGCTACAGTGCTACACCATATTGGTTACTAGGCAGTTTCCTTCACCCATAATATACTAGCCATTTTTCCTACAGCATCCTCACAAACCAGATGCTCCTCCTCCTCCTCATTGCCATGCTGCTCTAGAGTGAGAGGATTTATTTTCCCAAAGAGCTCAACTCACATGATGGTACAGCATTTGCAGGAAGCGTAGCCAGGAAATCACAGAGTGGGACAGGTGACAGCTGTTTGAGTTGGGGTGCTGCTGTGCTGATGTGAAAGAAGTTCTGCTCTGTGGTGTCAAAGAGGGGCCATTGTACCTCATCTGCCTCTGGCCTTGTCGGAGTCCTATAAACGAAATTGAAAAATTATGGTAGGATTACAAATAATCTCTTGCTTGTTTATAAGAATTATAGGCACCGGAGTCCACTGATATAAATAACTAGATTTAAAAGTCAAGGGCCTTCCTTTCCTTCCTCCCTCCCTCCCTCCCACATACCCTCTCTCCTTCTTTTCTTTTCTTTTCTTTTCTTTTCTCTTTCTTTCCTTCCTTCCTTCCTTCCTTCCTTCCTTCCTTTCTTTCCTTCTTTCTTTCTTCTCATTGCAAGATGGTGCTCACACAGTCGGTACTTTTATTGCCAGCCATCGTCAAGTATGAGCACCATAGCTGCCTTGTTCACCATAGCCTTTACTCCCAGTTTTAGTTATCATTCCTCCAAACATTAATATAAGGCAGGGGTGTCAAACTGCCGGCTTGCGGGCTGGATGCATCATGCCGAAACCGCACCCACCCAGCTCCGGCAATGGGGGAAAAGTCACGATATGTCACAGCACGTCACGTGACGTGGCAAGTTTGACACCCCTGGTATAAGGTTTGCCCATGACAGACCATTGGGAAAGAAACATGACGATTCCCAACTGAGGTGGTCAAAAAGTACCACCTGGTGCATTGCCTGATCAAGCAGTGAGTGCTGTGTCCCATTGCTGGAGTCCCGTGTTCTTCTGGCTGGTTACTGCTGATTTCAGAACCACAGGAATAAGTGGCTGCCATTTCAACTTTTCACAATACAATTGTCAATACTTATGGGAAATATAATAGTTGCAAGACTCAGCTGCTAAGGGCTGCCTGGAACGCTACAGTAGGAAAAATATTAATGGCACTCCATGGAAAATATCAGCAACAGACAACTGTTGAGAAAACATTTCCCTAACCCAGGGGTAGGCAACCTTGACTCTTTTATGACTCGTAGACTTCAACTCCCAGAATTCCTGAGCTGGCATGGCTCAACTTGGAAACTCTCCCTTTCCCCTCAGCATGGCTGGCTCAAGAATTCTGGGAGTTGAAGTCCACGAGTCATAAAAGAGCCAAGGTTGCCTACCCCTGCCCTAACCTTATGTTACTGAATGGGGCCCCAAAACCTGAATTACTCTCTGCAATTGCATGGAAAATGGGAAATTGGTAAGAGATGAACTCCCCCACCCCCCCATACCATTCATGTTAATCAGCTCCTCTGCCCAAAAGCAAGAATCTCATTCATGAATGGACAGGCAAGGACTGTTTTATAGGCTGGAGGGCTCAATTCCTTACCCGCCTCTGGCAAACTGTGCCCAGTATCTCATCGTCTGACGGCTCAATGCTTCCTCGGCCTCTGTGATGGATCGGTTTGTTGCTGACGCCATGGTTCCAAAGACATACGGTATCTCTGCTCCGTGGGGCGTCCCTACCCACTCAGGCCATCCAGAGCCAGAAGGGTGGTGACTGAAGGAGTAAACATACACGGGCTTCCTAGCTTTTCTGATCTTCTCAGCAAGTTCGACCAAGGGACACACCATGAAATAATCTCGCATATACTGAGAAAATGCCAAACGGTATTGACCATGGTTAGCTTCACTGAATTTCTGGGCAACAGTGTGCGCAACCTCTTTGTTAGTCCCTCTTCGCATAGTTATTGTCACACCTTGGAGAAGCTGCTCCCATGTTAATGTTCCTCCGTTTGTTTTTGTGCTTGAATACATAAGCAATACAAAAGCAGACCCTTCATCATCAGTGACACCAGTAAGAACTGGTTTTCCCTGAAGAATTGCACTGTCCAGCAGATCTGGGACTTCACCTGGGAGGAAATCACCATCGGTGGTCAATGAGTTGATCAGGGTCAGAGAAGTGAAGTTCTTCTGTTCAATGCCTATCTCCTGTAGGCAGCTCACCACAGCGCTGTCATTATCTCTGGCGCACCCCACTTCTTTGCTGAGCATTATTGCATCTGTGTGGGCCTCTTGGGGGGTCTTCCAGGGCCAAATGGCATTGGGAACGCCACTCTGGAGTACTGCACGAGCGAAAAGGGGCTGGCTCAGAGGGGAAAGGAGATGGCAACCCACCAAAACTGCTCCTGCACTTTGCCCGACTAGAGTCAACTGAGCTGGATCACCCCCGAAGACTGCTATGTTCTCCTTCAGCCACTTCAGGGCCAAATGTTGGTCCCACAAGCCCACATTTCCTGGAGCGTAGGGTGGCAAGGACAAAAAGCCTAGCGCCCCCAAGCGGTAATTCATGGAAGCCACTATGACCTTCTCTGTAGCAGACAAGGTTGCTCCATTATATATATCTAGTGAGGTTGTGCCAGTGATAAAGCCCATGCCTTGGAACCAGACAAGGACAGGCACTGGTGTTGACGGTCGAGGGTGGGGTGCCCAGATGTTAAGAAAGAGACAGTCCTCTGAAAGAGGTGTGTTGGCAATCCATATGTCTTTATCAGGAAGGCCAGGAACATAGGTCTGGGGACAAGAGTTGCCAAAACTGGTGGCCTCCAATACTTCACTCCATGGCTGATGTGGGACGGGCTTTTGGAAACGGAGTTTCTTCACTGGAGGTTCCGCGTAGGGGATTCCCAGATAGGCAGTCACGGAACCAGCTCTGGTCGAGACGGTTTTGCCTTTAATGGGGCCACTGCTGGTAGTGACCGGAGTGTCATTATTGGAATGACATTTGCAAACCAATGAGAAGAAGAAGAAAAAGCCCAGATGTGACCAGAAGAAACGAAGCATTGTAGCTATATCTGAAAGAGAAACACAAAACAGTTGACTGGATATAACTCCTCCTGTATAATACAACTAAGTTTGAATATATGAATACATAAATTCATTTTAATATATATTTTGGAAAGCTTAATTTGGTTTTGATTCAATTCAGCTCAACCCAAACCAGACTGAGGTGCTCTGCAGTTTTTGAGTTTCTTAGTTCCAGAGACCTTCTATCTTTGTTTCTGGATGGGGTGGCTTTGACCCAGTGCACAATCTGGAGGTCACCCTGGACAGAGAAGAGCAGATGGTAGTCATTGCTAGTAGGACCTTTGCGTAACTTGGGGCTGTGTGTCAAGTGTACTCATTCCTGGACCTGCTCACAGTCACTCATGCTCTTTGGATTTCCAGATCGGACCACTGCAATATGCTTTAACATGGGACTGTTCTGGAAAAAGTATTTTGAAGCTTCAACTGGTGCATGCAATTACTGGTGCCAGTTACCCAAAACATGTGATGCCACTGGTTTGCAAGCTGCATTGGCTTCTTGTGTGCTTCTGGGGGCAATTCAGAGCACTGGTTGTGAGGAGATTACTTAAGACTGAGTTACTTATGAGACCATCTCTCCCAAATGGTTTCTCTGGCCTATCTGATCTAGCAGGAAAGGCCTGATCTGGTTACTGTTAACTAGGGAGAGTCAGCTGGCAGAGATAGAAAAAGAGCCTTTTCTGCATTGGTGCTAAAGGTAAATTAAGAACAATTCACAACCATAGATGTATATTATATTAATCAAGAAGCTTTGCTGAATACATGCTAAAGGAACAGAGTTGTATCTGTAAAATAGTCTGGCAAAGCAGAATATTGAGCTCAAAAGCTTAAACAAGATCAGAGTCTGGCTTGCCTGGTGTATTTTAGGACAAGACATGCAGGAGGAAGTAAACCCACAGGCTTGCAAATATTGCTAAAGTATTACTAAAGTAGACCATAAGAACTTCCAGAATGACAGTTATATTATGAAAATTTGTGGCTAACCTATGTACACCTGCAGCTATATATATGTGTGACACAGAGACATGGGCAGCAAACATATTTAATAAATAAATAAGTCCAATAGGAGTCTTAGCCATAAAAGGGAAAGAGGGACAACACACGAGACGGTGACATCTGGGCTTATGGGTTTTGTGATTTAGGGGTATAAAAGGTTTGGCTGTAAACAAGGATGTTACATGGGTTTTTAAAGATATCTCCCCATGGTGATGCAGTGGTTAGAACGCAGTATTGTGGGCTGAATGCCCACCTGCCAGGAGTTCGATCCTGACTGGCTCAAGGTTAACTCAGCCTTCCATCCTTCCGAGGTTCATAAAATGAGGACCCAGATTGTTGGGGGTGATAAGCTGACTCTGTAAACATGAGGTGGTTAATAAGTCTAAGTGCTATTGCCAGTGCTTTTTTTCTTTAAAAAAAAAAAAAAAAAAAGGTGCCGGAACTCACACACATCATACAACCCGCCTTACCTACCCTGCAAGGTTCCATCCCAAAAAGGTGCCGGAACTCCGTTCTGGGCATTCTATGAGAAAAAAAAGCCCTGGCTATTGCTATTACTATGTCTTCCTTCTGAGCAGAATAAAGTTGTGTTGTGAGATGCTTGGTGCTCTCTGAGCTTGGTGGTTTTCTTTTAGACATTTCATGACCAAAGTTGTGTTGTTTCAGTCTCCACCTTGGTGTGTTCAATTGGGCTTCAACTGCCTGGTCAAGGGACCACAATGGTATCCACCCTATTGAATACCTTCCCCCAGAGATTAGATGGATCCCATCCCTGTTGGCCTTTTGTGATACCTTAAAAACATTATGCTCAAGCCTGGAGTCCTGGGCATTTTCTGGTTGTATGAATGGGAGATTAGATGATGCCCAGGTGCAATGTGTTTTTATTTTGGGTTTCCATGATGTATTTTGTCTTTTTATTTATATGATTGTAAGACGCCTAGAGTCACATAAAGTGAAATGAAGGGCTATATAAATCAAGCAAATCAATCAATAATAAAATTCTGAGATATTGTGAACTTGCAACCAGAGTGAGAGAATGGGGGGGGGGGAGAGGTTCATGGCTCAAGTTCAAAAAAACTCAAATATCAGGAAGACTTGGGGAATGAAGAAAACAAAAGGTTCTTTGACGATGGCAGTGTAAAGATTAGCTTATTGAGGACACAAGAAGGCCAATTTTCCACTTGACATTTTCAACCTGCCAACATTCAATCAAGTCAATTAGTCTTGATGGCAAATATAAACTCTGACAAATAAAGTGATGACGATGATGTTATCCATTCTATTGTGTCCAACTCTTGGCAAATAAAGTATGACTGATTGCTTAATGATCTAGGTTCTTCCTCTTATTAATTCCTGGTTCTGCCTTTTCTCAATCTGGTAGCATTTCAAAACCCATACCTTGCTTCTGTCAAGGGTAAATGTCTGTCCCAATAAAATTACGCTGCCCATGGTCACTTTGTAAGGGAGATGGGTGGCATAAAAATTTAATAAATAACATAAATAAAAGGAGATTCCTGCTGTGATTATAGATCCCTGGATCATTTCTTCATCCCTTGTTATCATTTACCTCTATACAAGTCTTTCCCATCTTGTATCTGATCATGGGCAAGTTCAAGGCCTGTTGGGATTTTTATGGGTCAGGCTTCTATAGTAAGACTAGGCCAGTGGCCAGCTTGCGTACTAGAGGCCTAGGACAATAGTAGGGCAACCACATTGTTAGGAATGATTATTGCAATGGTCAGGTAATTTTGCTTTGCATTAGCTAAGAAACCTGCAGATGTAGATTCTTGTCAGAATCTGACCATGTACAAAAAACTAGCAAGTAAGAAAATGTAGCTGCATTGCATATGTAATTTTGTATATCCTGTTCCAAACCACATAATGTTTCCCTGCCTTGCTGTATCTGAACATCATGTAACAGGAAAAGCTCTATAGAAATGTATTCACACCTGCTGTTGCTAACTGCTCAGAAAAGCTAACCACAGAGCCTGTCCGGATAAATCCGGACATGATAGAAAAAACTGCTTTGCACACATAGACTTAGCTATGCTTGTAAACATACTTGCCATATATGCATATCCGACCCAATGTGTCAAATTATGAGTGGTTAAATCAGGATCATATGCTTGCCTTCTGATACCTTGAAACCCACCCCTAAAAAACCTCAATAAAAGGTTTGTCTCAAGCTAGCTCGGGGCTCACTCACCCCGAGGAGAATTTGACTCTGTGTCTTTGTTCTCACTCCGTCCGGCGCGGGGATGCCCGGACCCTCTCGTGGTGAGCCCGTTGGCCACGAGAAAAGCCACAAAGGCCAGATGAAAATTTCTTTCACAGAACTTGCTAGAGGTTTCTTTTCTCTCCTCCTATTCCAGGGGTAGGCAACCTTGGCTCTTTTATGACTGGTGGACTTCAACTCCCAGAATTCCTGAGCTAGCCATGCTGAGGGGAAAGGGAGAGGTTTCCAAGCTGAGCCATGCTGGCTCAGGAATTCTGGGAGTTGAAGTCCACGAGTCATAAAAGAGCCAAGGTCGCCTACCCCTGTCCTATTCCATCCTGCTGTGTAAACATAATGCAAGCTTTCTGGAAGATCCAGATATTTCAGTGATGCCAGGGGAAATCAATATAAAGGGGATACAGGTAGTCCTTGACTTTCAACCATTCATTTAGTGATCGTTTGCACTTACAACAGCACTGAAAAGTGACTTATGACCATTTTTCACACTTACAACCGTTGCAGCATCTCCATGGTCACGTGATCAGAATTCGGCCACTTGGCCACTGGCATGTATTTATGACGGCTGCAGTGTCCCAGGGTCACGGGATCACCTTGTGTGACCTTCTGACAAACCAAGTCAATGGGGAAGCCGGATTCACTTAACAACCGTGTTCCTAAGTGAACAACTGTAATGCTTCACTGAACAGCTGTGGCAGAAAGGTCATAAAATGGAGCAGAACTCAGTAAGCAACCGTCTGCTTAAGCCATGGAAATTGTGGCCGTAAGCTGAGGACTACCTGTATTCTGCTGGCTCTTCGTGCACTAATATTGCCCATTAATTTGCACCCATAAGCTCAAAGAGATTATGTGTCTTTCTGTTCTTCGCTATCCAAACAAAGAAATGTTCCAGGTAAGTGATCTTCTTACCAGGTGTTCTTTTTTGCTACATGTAGCAAGATTCATTTGACAGCATAACCACTTAGAGATCACGTGGTTCACCCGAAGCAATTAGCCAGATGGTGGCCCTTGCTGCCTCACACCTGGCCAAATCCTTGCTGTCTGAGGAGATAACCTACCTGCCTAATGAAAAGGTGAGCCAAACACAAATATAAAAAAATAATACCACCTTTCTTTCTCTGCCTTCATTTCCCAAACTGCTTTCCTAACTTCAATCCCAACCTGTGAGTAATTAGAACATGCTCATTTTTGTCGTATCCTACCTGCTTTCTCATCGGCACTAGCTGGGACTGGATATTAGCTGATGATGGTCTGTCCGTCCAGGAAACTAAGACTGCCAGAGTGTGTGTCAGGGAAAAAACCTGTTGCCTCCTCTTCTCCCCCTTCTTTCTCTTTTGCTTGCTCTCCTCCCCTTCAAGCTGCATGGTTGTGGGTGTGCGTGAGAGCAAGCCGCTCCCCTAACAAGCCAGGCTGCTGATTCCCAAAGTTAGTAAATCACCAAGACCAGATGTCAGCCCAGTACAAAGAAATCAGGGCACCCAATCCCCACAAAAATAGAAGTGGATGTTTTCTGCATCACCTTCGAAAGACAGTCCAAGTAGGAGGTCCTAGGTAGGGCTCGATTTATGACCACAGTGGAACCCAAAGTTTCTGTCACTAAATGAGAAAGTTGTTAAGTGAGATGTCATGGTTCCGACAGATGAAAGTCTTCAAAGAACTTTGAGGCATTGTTTACCTTAAAGAATCTAATACCAAGTGATATTAATACCACTTTACAATGCCTTGGTAAGGCCACACTTGGAATACTGCATCCAGTTTTGGTCACCACGATGTAGAAAAGATGTTGAGACTCCAGAAAGAGTACAGAGAAGAGCAACAAAGATGATTAGGGGACTGGAGGCTAAAACATACAAGGAACGGTTACTGGAATTGGGTATGTATAGTCTAATGAAGAGAAGGACGAGGGGGGACATGATAGCAGTGTTCCAGTATCTCAGGGACTGCCACAAAGAAGAGGGAGTCAAGCTATTCTCCAAAGCACCTGAAGGCAGGACAAGAAGCAACAGATGGAAACTAATCAAGGAGAGAAGCAACCTAGAACTAAGGAGAAACTTCCTGACAGTTAGAACAATTAACCAGTGGAACAGCCTGCCTCCAGAAGAGGTGAATGCTCCAACACTGGAAGTTTTTAAGAAGAGACTGGACAGCCATTTGTCCGAAATGGTGTAGGGTTTCCTGCCTGAGCAGGGGGTTGGACTCAATGACCTCCAAGGTCCCTTCCAACTTTTATTATTATTATTATTATTATTATTATTATTATTATTATTATTATTATTATTATTATTATTATTATTATTATTATTATTATTATTATTTTAAGTAGCATAGCATCGGCACTGGGATAATCGAAGCCCAAAACTAAATTCCCCTCCTCTGAGCACATAGTATCAAAGCACAATTCCCTCCTCCAATTAACCGTCATAAATCACATTCCCCAATTAGCTTGAAGCCCGGGCTCGCTCTCCTGTTCTCCAGGCCGCCAATTTTCTTATCAGCTCTGGTTACAAAAACCTTGTTTCTCACGCTGGGTCCAGTGTTGTTATGTCTAGCTGGACATGCCCCCTTCTACAACCTTTCTTGTCACAGTTGTTAAGTGAATCACTGCAGTTATTAAGTTAGCAATACGGTTGTTAGGTGAACACGGCTCCCCTATTGCCTTTGCTTGTCAGAAGGTCATCAAAGGTGATCCCATGATCCCTGGACACAGCAGCCATCATGAATATGAACCAGTTGCCAAGCGTCTGAATTTTGATCACATGACCATGGGGATGCTTCGAAAATGGTCATAACTCACTTTTTCCAGTGCTGTTGTAACTGTTGGGGTTCCAACTAATGGACCCAAACAAATCAGATTCTGAGGCTTGAAGTTTCCTCAAAGAACATGTTTATTGGATACATAATATCGGCATGGTGAAAAGTGAAACCAACTCTAAAATTCCTCTTAGGGGACTCAATGTAATTAAATGTAACACTTCCCTCCCCCTACTATGCTATTGATCACGCTACCCAATGAGGGCAATTGACGGGCTCCATAACACTTCTTCTCTCCACCTTCCAGCTCCTGTGAGAATGACCTTGGTTCCCCCGGGATCACTCCATGTTTAGTCTAACAATACTTTTGGTTTCTTCCCCCTCTCCTCCCAACCTGTGTGACAACTGAGAATGACAAAGATGGCTTCAGCCACGTTCATTTCAGAAATTGACAGTAACTCTGAGTGGTCACTAAACAAATGGTTGTAAGTCAAGGGTTACCTGTACATCTTAATCACCCTAAAGGTGATGGTGTCTATGAGAGTTTTAGACACCAGCAAATTCAAAGATCTGACTCTGATTTTCTTAGAACCTACAGTAGTTGTAATTCTGCATTTTTTTCTATAAAGAATGGAATCTTGTCCTACTTTCACAATCAACCTGCCCTAATCAAATTCTGCTCTGTCCAAAAGTTCAAGTCTATTTACTAACCTTCAATTCCTTCTGTAAACATTCTCTGATCATTCACCAATGTGGATTTTGGATTCTATGGAATTCTAAGCTGTGTTTAATTACGTTAAAAAAACACCCCTTTATGTTACATTAAAAAAAATTAGAAATGTAATTGATGCAACGGGGTTTATTCTTGCACCGCTTAGCAAAGTTTTAACACTTGAAACGTGTCATGCCGTGGTCACATGAATGAGGATCAAATTGCAAAGCAAATATATAAAAGAGCAGAGAATGCTTTGAGAGGAAGACCAAGGAAGTCTTGGTTGAACAAAACTGGCAGGATTCTGGAAAAGATAGAGTTTAAAGAGCAAAAAGCAGTGGTTGAAGAAGTGGATCCACAGGATGGAAGCAAGAATGGTTTGGAAGGATGCAAGGAAATGAAGAGGCATTGGGCAGATGTGCACTTTCTGACTCACCAGTATAAAAGGAAGAGCAGAAAGTGCTTCCTGAAGGTAGAGACAGATGATATCATCCTCCGCCTATGCCCAGCCTACTGCAAATATACCCCATGTCCATATCTTCTAGCTAAAACGTAAAAGTGTTGTTTTCAAACCAGAACTACCTTCACAATATAGGTAGTCCTCAACTTACGACCACAACTGGGATCAAAATTTCCATTGCTGAGCAATTGTTAAGTGAGTCACGTCCAATTTTATGACCTTTTTTGTCATGATTGTTAAGCTAATCGCTGCATTTGTTAAATGAATCATAGGATTGTTAAATGAATTCAGCCTTTCCCATTAACTGCTTGTCAGAAGTGTCAGGCCCCGTGAAACATTCCTTGGATGCAGTGGTGGGATTCAGCCGGTTCGCACCGGTTCAGGAGAACCAGTAGCTAAATTTACCTGAATTTGGAGAACCGGCTGGCTTCTGGAAGTCCAGTCGAGGCCTCGGTGGCCTCCCAGGCCTAGAATGGCCCACCAGAGGTGCATGGATACCACTTCTGGAGGTCCGTTCTAGGCCTAGGAGGCCTGGAGGAGGCCTCCCAGGCCTAGAACGGCCCACCAGAAGTACATGGATACCACTTCCAGAGGTCCGTTCTAGTCCTCGGAGGCCTCCTCCAGGCCTCCTAGGCCTAGAACGGCCCACCAGAAGTGCGTGATGCCCAGGCCTGCATCGCATAATAGAACTGGTTGTTCAGGTAATTGAATCCCACCACTGCTGGGATGCTGCCATTCAGTTGGGAAGGGGTAAGTTGTGGGCTCTGGTTGTGTTTCCTCTGCTTTGTTCTTTCAACCTTTGATGTATCTCTTTGGATGTGAAAGGAGGGAGAAATGTGCCTGGGGCCATCTGCCTTATCTCTACTTCGCTGGGAAGAAGATGCAAAGCCTGGGAACAGCGCTTTATCGCTCTTTCACCCTCCAATTCCCATAACAACTTCACATCTGAGGATTGGCTGGAAATGGACTGGGCAGATGGGCACTTGGCAGCGGTTTGAAGACTGGTGTTTTAATGTAATGGTTTGCTCAGGAAATATTCAGATCTTGCCTTGCTTTTCTGCTTTCACTACCTCTCAATAAAAGTTCCTTTTGAAATGATGCCAGTTTCANTTGTTCTCACTCCGTCCGGCGCGGGGATGCCCGGACCCTCTCGTGGTGAGCCCGTTGGCCACGAGAAAAGCCACAAAGGCCAGATGAAAATTTCTTTCACAGAACTTGCTAGAGGTTTCTTTTCTCTCCTCCTATTCCAGGGGTAGGCAACCTTGGCTCTTTTATGACTGGTGGACTTCAACTCCCAGAATTCCTGAGCCAGCCATGCTGAGGGGAAAGGGAGAGGTTTCCAAGCTGAGCCATGCTGGCTCAGGAATTCTGGGAGTTGAAGTCCACGAGTCATAAAAGAGCCAAGGTCGCCTACCCCTGTCCTATTCCATCCTGCTGTGTAAACATAATGCAAGCTTTCTGGAAGATCCAGATATTTCAGTGATGCCAGGGGAAATCAATATAAAGGGGATACAGGTAGTCCTTGACTTTCAACCATTCATTTAGTGATTGTTTGCACTTACAACAGCACTGAAAAGTGACTTATGACCATTTTTCACACTTACAACCATTGCAGCATCTCCATGGTCACGTGATCAGAATTCAGCCACTTGGCCACTGGCATGTATTTATGACAGCTGCAGTGTCCCAGGGTCACGGAATCACCTTGTGTGACCTTCTGACAAACCAAGTCAATGGGGAAGCCGGATTCACTTAACAACCGTGTTCCTAAAGTTAACAACTGTAGTGCTTCACCGAACAGCTGTGGCAGAAAGGTCATAAAATGGAGCAGAACTCAGTAAGCAACTGTCTGCTTAAGCCATGGAAATTGTGGCCGTAAGCTGAGGACTACCTGTATTCGGCTGGCTCTTCATGCACTAATATTGCCCATTAATTTGCACCCATAAGCTCAAAGAGATTATGTGTCTTTCTGTTCTTCACTATCCAAACAAAGAAATGTTCCAGGTAAGTGATCTTCTTACCAGGTGTTCTTTTTTGCTACATGTAGCAAGATTCATTTGACAGCATAACCACTTAGAGATCACGTGGTTCACCCGAAGCAATTAGCCAGATGGTGGCCCTTGCTGCCTCACACCTGGCCAAATCCTTTTGCTGTCTGAGGAGATAACCTACCTGCCTAATGAAAAGGTGAGCCAAACACAAATATAGAAGAATAATACCACCTTTCTTTCTCTGCCTTCATTTCCCAAACTGCTTTCCTAACTTCAATCCCAACCTGTGAGTAATTAGAACATGCTCATTTTTGTCGTATCCTACCTGCTTTCTCATCGGCACTAGCTGGGACTGGATATTAGCTGATGATGGTCTGTCCGTCCAGGAAACTAAGACTGCCA